AAATTTTCTTTAGGACAACCAACGAAAAAGGAAAACCCTGCTCTCAGATTACTTCGAAATTTGCCTCATTTTGACTTTATATAGGCTTTTCATCTCTATCACGAATCATTAGAGTTATGTGATGTTGCGCTGCTCAGATTACTTGAGTATCTCTAGAGCATCGTCATCACCGCGATAATTTTCATCTTCATATTCATGAGTGGCATATTATCTTCTACTCTCATTTGTATGCCTCGAGTACTATCACGAATAAACATCACCAAGACTACGGCCATTATGGTTCATTTGATGCCTTATATGCGTAATTCGTAAATGAGCACAACACATTTTCGTGTCGGGAACAATTTCAAGATCTTTTACTAGCTACATAGGCTTTCGCGTCAATGCCAACAAAATATTTCTGCTCTGATTACTGGCACCTTAGTCCTTTTTCAAAATTTGTCATTCTCTTTAGAAAATCTAGCGAGCACTGGTTAAAATTTAGTGGACAACCTGTACGAAATTAATGATAGAAATATGAGATAACATCAATCATCTATGAATTCGAGACCTGTGACATTTCCAGGATTCGTGTTATAATGATGAAACAATGCTTTTGATTAATGTTTAGCTTCTACGCGATGATTTATAGGAGCCTCGAAAGAGACGTAAGTAAAAGCATTCTTAAGAAATTTGGAAAATTGACACCAGCATACTCAGATTTTCCTTATCGAAATGCAGCTCAAAACATTCACATCCTTTCTCATGCGAAACTTGAAAGAATAGTAATTTCTCTCAAAGAATTCAGTCTTGCGCAGGGTAATATTTTTCAACAAGAAATCACGAAAGAATTTTGCAAGTTCTTTGGGCTGATGGATTTGATCTGGAATTGCTCATTTTCGTGACCTTGTTTTAGATGATTTACGCAAAATTGAAAATCACTTGGCTGGGAAATTTTTATCTAGATTTCGGATGAGTCACGCAAAATTTAGCGAGATTAATAACTTTTTCTTGCAAACCTTCATTCTCAAGCGATGTCGAATCAAGCACTGATGAATTGCTCCAACAGCTAGAGGTGACGATATTGGCACGTTATCCTTACTGGCGTTTCTATCGGACAATACCAGGATCTGGTATCCGTCCAAAGCAGCAGTACAGGCTTCGCAGCAGATTCGATCGAGTCCTGGTACCAAGCCTGAACAGGTTACGGTAGCCCCACTTCATCAAGTTCCTTTCAGCTCGAGGACCTAGTCCGCTTACCTTTAACTCCATACCTAACCGGGAACGTTGTGTCAATAACCTTGCTTCGCCAACCCTTATACATCGTACGTTTGATCACCTAAATTACACTCTAAGTAATCATTCTAGAAACCCACACCTACGACATTACGATCCACAAATTTGCGT